GCACTGCCGGCCACACCAGCTCGAGCTCGCCGGCGACGACCCCAGGCCACCCCTCCCGCCCCAGTGGACGCCGAGCTCGACCTCTGCCACGCGAGCACGTCATCTACAGTTGGCGCGCCGCCAAAATACGGCATGCCCATCTGCCGCAGCTGCAACGCCTCCTCCGCGGTCGCCACCCTCGCATCGAACGCCCCCGTGTCACCGTCCTCCACCGACAGGCCCTGTTTGAGCCGCCCAAGCCTGCGGGCGACCGCTTGGGCACTTCTTGCAGGTCAAAGAAGATGAAGCCGAGGTGGGCGTAGGCTCGGGTCCGCACGACATGCGCGTCGATGCAGAGTACAGCGGCTGCTTGTCGCCGTCGTCCTGGTTCTTCTTGGCATGCGGTCCATCAGGTCGTAGGACGCGCTGTCGCCACCCGAGGAGGCCATGCTCCGCTTGGCGGCGGTCTGGGGGAGGATCTCGAGGTTGCCGGCGACTCCGGTTGTGGCCAGCTGCATCTTGGACGGAGAGTGCAGCTAGGCCTTGACGGCGAGTGCAGCTAGGCACAGGCGGGGATGCGGCGAGTAGGCAGGGAGTGGCGAGGCAGGCGCACGGCGAGGAGAGGAGCAAGGCGGCGAGCGGGAAGACAGACGCGCGACATGTGACTTGGTGGGGAGGGGAAGGAAAATGGAAAGTGCACGTGGGTGTGGCCCGGAGAAAAAGGGTAAAGAGAGGGAGTGAGAGGCTGACTGTGGGCGAAAAGACATGCAAAGCCATCTCTCTCCTCCCCCAAGTGCCCCCCGGCAGGCTGGGTTTGGCCTGGGAGCGCCGGCTCTAATTTTTGGCTAAATTGGGCGAAAACTAAGCCTTTGGGGTGACGAGTGGGAGAAAATTTAATCACCGGTGCCCAAAAGGTGATGCTCTAAGTGCACGTGCTGATTCAAAACAAGCATCTCCCCAAGAACAATCAATGCGCAAGTCTTTTGCCCTTTTCAGGAAACAAAGTGGCGACTCATCAGGATTAGCAGCATCCAACACAGGAGATGTCTGTAAAATAGGTTGGAATGCGTTGAACCCTTTATCTCGGGCCACATCTGTATATATATGGCATAAGCCTTGGCGTACAAGTTGTGGAGAGATCGATCATAACGATTGTTACAGAAGATATGGAGAGGAGAGCTACGGGAGAGAGAAGAAGAGATAGAGATGTAGTACAAGTTTAAACACAAGTCCTATCCCTATACATCAATTCTAGCACTCCCCCTCAATCTGAACCTCAATGAGCTTTGCCAAGGTTGAGATTGTATGTAAACTTTTCCAATCCTCTCAAAGTAAGCGGTTTTGTAAACCCATCTGCAAGCTGATCTCCTGTAGGAATGAACTTAATTTCAAGCAACTTCCGAGCCACTCTTTCTCTGACAAAATGAAAGTCAACCTCAATGTGTTTTGTTCTTGCATGAAAAACCGGATTGGCTGAGAGATAGGTTGCACCAATATTATCACACCATAGTCTCGCAGCCCGAGGTGCTTTAATGCCAAGTCATAAAGAAGTGTCTGAATCCACATTACTTCAGCTGTAGCATTAGCCAAGGCTTTATATTCGGCCTCTGTACTTGATCTTGAGACAGTGGCCTGTTTTCTTGCGCTCATGACACAAGATTTGTTCCTAGAAAAACAGCAAAACCACCTGTAGATCTTCTATCATCAGCACATCCTGCCCAGTCTACATCTGAATAAGCAGTTACAAAAAGAGAGGAGGACTTGGTAATTTGAAGTACAAGACCTTCTGAGTACATAAGATACCTTAGAATTCTCTTAACTGCAGCTAATGAGTAGTTCTAGGTGCATGCAAATATTGACATACCTTGTTTACTGAGTAGGAAATATCAGGACGAGTAAGGTTAAATATTGCAAAGCACCTACAACACTCCTATAATTTGTTGCATCAACTGGTGCAAGAGCTTCTCTACTTTCTGCTGTAAGCATTTCTGAGGTAGAAATTGGTGTACTAACCGGCTTGCAATTTTCCAAACCCATTCTTCTGAGAATATCAGTGGTATATTTTTCCTGTGAAAGAAGTATGCCATCTTTAATTTTCTTCACTTCTATTCCAAGAAAATAATGAAGGTCACCCAAGTCTTTGCGGGCAAACTCCAACTTTAAATCCTTAAGCAAGCAAGTAGTAGCTTCTGCACTTGAACTAGCAACAATTATATCATCAACATAAACAAGCACAAAAATAGTAACATTGCCTTTTCTAAAGAAGAACAATGAGGTATCTGCCTTGGATGGTATGAACCCAAGGTGTTGCAACTGCATGCTCAGTCTGGAATACCAAGCTCTCGGTGCTTGTTTCAAGTCATATAATGCTTTATCCAACTTACAGACATACTGTGGTGTGCTGTGATCCACATAGCCTGATGGTTGCCTCATGAACACTTCTTCCTCAAGAACACCATGAAGAAACGTGTTCTGAACATCTAGTTGTCTTAAACTCCAACCTCTGGAAATAGCAATAGACAGAACAAGTCGAATAGTGGCAGACTTAACAACAGGGCTAAAGGTATCTTCATAATCAATTTCAAACCTTTGCTTAAACAACCCTTTGGCAACTAATCGAGCCTTATACCTGTCTATGCTTCCATCAGACTTTCGTTTTATCTTGTATACCCACTTACAATCAATAACATTGTCTCCATGTTTTGGTGGTACCAAGTGCCAAGTTTTATTTTTCATAAGTGCATCATATTCATTGTCCATAGCTTCCTTCCAATCCTTATTAGCAAGGTCATCATGCAAGTGAATTGGTTCACCGGTAGTGGTAAGAAAAGCTCGTTTAACTTTGTCATACCTTATAGTACTATCATTGTACTGTTTTTCTTTGACAATACCTGACCGGGACCTTGTTTGCCGAAGGGAAGTTGTAGAAGGCACAGGAACAGCCGATGTGGATGATGGAACACGCGATCCTGGTGAAGCTGTATCGGCCACAGAAGATCCAGCCGGTTCTCTATCCAAGATAGGGAGCAAATCTGTCGGCTCCTGATCCAAGGGGGAATCTGACGCCTTGCCGGTCAGGAATCCAGGCGTGCAGCCGCGGCTAGCCACTGTGGGGCCAGGCA